TCCCTCTCCCCCCGTTTTCTCTCTCTCTCTAAAATAAATAAATAAAATATTTTTTTTAAAAAGTGGGAGAGGGCGCCTGGGTGGCTCAGTTGGTTAAGCAACTGCCTTCGGCTCAGGTCATGATCCTGGAGTCCTGGGATCGAGTCCCGCATCGGGCTCCCTGCTGCTCAGCGGGGAGTCTGCTTCGCCCTCTGACCCTCCCCCCTCTCATGTGCTCTCTCTCTCTCATTCTCTCTCTCTCAAATAAATAAATAAAATCTTTAAAAAAAAAAAAAAAAAAAAATAAAAATAGAAAGTGGGAGAAAAAAACTCATCTGGAAATAGAAAGAGCCACAATAGACAAGACACTCTCCAAGAAGAAAAATAAGGTGAGAACCTATTTAGCAGATATCAAGACATAATTAAGTGACAGTAACTCAGACAGCTGCTATCGGCATAGGAACAGACAGACAAATGGAACCAAACAGAGTCCAACAACAGACCTACATATATATGGATATATCACAGGTGGCATTGCAGATGAGGGAGGGGGAGCAGATTATAAATAAACAGTGCAGGAAGAGGTGGGTAAACCTACGGGGGAAAAAATGAAAGTGAACCCTTACCTCTCGCTGTATGCAAAATAACAATTATAGAGTTGGAGAAGATATTTGCAACACACATTACTGACAATATCAAGGCTACGTAAAGAATGTATAGATTAACAAGAAAAAGGAACAACGTATAGAAAAATGTGCAAGATATTTGAATAGACACTTTACAGGAGACAAAAATGGTTCATAAACATATGAAAATATGCTCAAGCTCATTAATATTAGCTAAATGCAAATTAAAGCCCTAATTATACACCCACCAGACTGACAAAAATGAAAAAAAAATCTGACGGTACCAAGTGTCAGCAACAATGTGAAACCAAGGGAACTTTCTTTTATTGCTGTTGGGAGTGTAACTGGAACAATAAAATTCCTGGAAGACAGTGAAGGGAAGTTCCCGATGCCCTAGAACCCAGGGGTCAGACTCCCAGGTACATACCCTAGAGAAACTCGTGCACGCATGCGTCAGAAACACAAATAAGACTGTTGCTAGCAGCATTGTCTGACTTGCCCCAAACTGGAATCAAACCAAATGTCCATCTACAATAAAATAAAACCCGTGAACTATGATACAGTTATATAATGGAACGGTTTTCAGCAATGAACTTGAACAAACTAGAGCTAAGCCCAGCAATGAGGATGCATCCCAAAGACATCATGGGCAAAAGAAGCCAGCTGTCAAAGCTTTCATCTGCACGATTCCATTCACATAAAATACGAAAACAGGAAACCACAGTGATGGATGTATAATTGAGTGGTGAAAGCTTTATAGCAGAATAAGAATGCGAGCCTCCCCAAAGCCAGGGCAGGGGTTGCTGCGGAGACTGGGAGGGGCGGAGCTGTGATGGGGAGGGCACATTGGTGTTGGAGAGACTACCTCTTGACGGGATCATAAATATGTTCACCTCATAGCAATTTGTTAGGCTGCACATTTGTGTTTTGCTCGTTTTTCCAAATGTGTGTTTTGCTCTATGGGAAATCAAAGGAAAAAGGAGTATGCTTCAGCTCTGAGCAGCTCAGACTGCCATGTATCTGGATGAGGGTGTGCCTTTTCTGCCTCCAATTTGGGGGGTTCTGGGGCCTTTGTTCACTTGGACACATGAGGCCTGTGGCTGCCCAAGGCCCGCCCTGGGGCCTGAACTGGCTTTAACCTCTCCTCATTAATATGAGGCCAGAGCTGAAGCCGGAGGGTGATGCAGGGGCAGCTGTTAGGCAGGCTCTAAGGATTCATGAGGAGCAAAGGAAGGTCTGAACAAGTGGATATGTTTGGGGTCTGCCCTGCGTCCCAAGACTCTCCCTCTGGTGGGAGTGTGCTAGAAGGCAGCCTAATGGGAAACGGCCACTTCCAACCATCTTCAAGGGTCACTGTCCCCCTGGACTGGAGCTTTCCCTGAGGTCCCCCATCAGGCAGTCTTTTCCAGGGGGAGGAATAGGGCATGCAGGCAGAGACAGGGAACTGGATGTGCCAAGCTGCCCAGTGGGGGGCTTGGTGCCACTGGGTCACAGCCAGAGACAGAGACCCTCCTCCCCTCACTGCCCTCCTCTAGAGACACACGGATTCACTGTAAGCACCACCTCTGCCCCGTATTCCCTGCATGTCCTTTGTGTCCTCCAGGCCTCCCTTCCCAAGGCCAGTCCCGGTGGGCACTGGGCAAGAAGCCCCTCGGCCCCAGGCTGCTGTTTTTCTTCCCTGATGCCCTGCCAGCGCCACCCGTCCCACCAGGGGTGCAGGGAGTCTCCTTGGACCAGCAGGGGGCGTCCCCCCAATGTGACCCACAGTTGGGGCAGGGACGTGGAACCACTCAGGACTTGTTTTTGTTTAAGATTTTTTTTTTTTTTTTGAGGGGTGCCTGGATGGCTCAGATGGTTAAGCATCTGCCTTTGGCTCAGGTCATGGTCCCGGGGTCCTGGGATCGATCCCCACATTGGGCTCCCCGCTCGGCGGGAAGCCTGCTTCTCCCTCTGCTTCTGCCTGCTGCTTCTCCTGCTTGTACACTCTCTCTCTCTGTCAAAAATAAATAAAATCTTTATTTAAAAAAAGATTTTATTTATTTGAGAGAGAATGAGAGCATGAGCAGGGGGAAGGGGCAGAGGGAGAGGGAGAAGCGACTCCCCGCTGAGCACGGAGCCCTATGTGGACTCAATCCCAGGACCCTGAGATCATGACCTCAGCTGAAAGCAAGAGTCGGGCGCTTCCCCGACTGAGCCCCCCAGGGGCCCCTCCGGACTTGTTTCGTGAGGTCTCTTCTGGTTCTAAAAGCATCTCTGTTTACAATAAAAATCTCTATTAACAGAAGGTAGAGAAGCTCACTCTCTTCAACTGTTAGAAGAGTAAAACTATGTTCAGTCATCGGCTTGGAAAAGCTTCCCAAAGGGTCTGAGCCTTTCTTAGCCCAGGAGCTGGACCAGTCTCTGAACTCACCATGATGCTGGACAAGGCAATGAAGCCTCTCTGAGCCTCAGTTTCTCCACCTGCAAGATGAGGAATCAGACTAGGCCCTGGGTCTATTACCCCCAGACTGGGTCCAGAGGGCAAAGCAGGGGAAGGCAGGCCAGTTTTGTTCCTCCCAGGGCTGTGGCCCCCCAGGCTTAGTCAGGGCACACCCAGGACTGTGTAGACACTCCACATGACTATCAGAAGCCCTGAGGGGAGATGGGAAGGTAGGCAGGGGTGGGGGCCGGGCTCAGAACAGCAAAGGACAGGTCACAGGGCAGTAAGTAGCTGAGCTAGAACTTGAATCCAGGCCTCTCTGACCCTCCATTTTCTCCCCTGTGAAATGGGCACATAGCAGCTTCTTCTCCAAGCAAACTATGTCAAGTACCCATGGGGCTCAGTGCCTGGAACCCAGGAAGTACCTGGTAAGTGGTAACCACCCTCCAACACTGTATGAGCAATAGAATGTTCATGACAGGTCTCAGGAGGGAGCGGATCCCTCTGGCCCCTCCTTTATGCTGGAGACCATGCCTGGGACCCCATCGGCCACCCCCAGCACACACTCTTACAGCTGAGGTCCTGGGTCCCTGGGTCAGTTCACAAGCAGGTGGGAGTCTGTCCTGGGCCGGCCTAGGGCCTGGGAGGAGAGGTTAAAGCCAGTTCAGGCCCCAGGGCGGGCCTTGGGCAGCCACAGGCCTCATGTGTCCAAGTGAACAAAGGCCCCAGAACCCTCCAAACTTTCCAGCTCAGGGGTCTTCAGATACATTTTAGCCGCTGAGCTGGCCACAAGTTAGCTAGAAGTGACAGGGTGTCCCGCATCATGCAGTGCATCACAAGCAAGCAGAACCCCCAGGCACTGACGAAACCGTTTTCTGGTCCAAACCCCACTTAGAACTTTTACAGGAAGGGAAGCTGCAGCCAGTAGGGAGCGGCGTGCCTCCATGGGTTCCCCATACTAGTTCAGGGCAGGGAGGGACTGCTGGTTCCCAGAGACTGTGTGGAATGCCTAAAGCTCCCCGTGCCCCAGACCGGACAGCGCCCGGGCTGACACCCCCTACCCCTGCAGGATTTAGAGGAAACATCTGCAGGGACAGTGCTGCACACCCGGTTCCTGGAAGCAGATGGCTGTCACCCCCCCAGCACCTCTCCCATCCACTGCGGCCTCATCCCTCCCCCTCCTCCAGCAAGCCACCCCACACCCCAGACACACCCAAGAGCAGGTAGCAGGAAGTGCAAACAAAGGGCCCTCTCCAGATGATGAATCCCCAGCTGGTGGGGACACTGCCGTCCTGGGTTTGAATCTCACACAGCGAACTTCTTTCCCAACATAAGACACAGAGAGGATCTGACGCCCCCGGGGTCCCAGCCAGTCCTGACCTGAAGCGGAGTCTGTTTCCACAGACAGAACAATCCAGCCTGGATGGGCGTGCCAGGGAGAGTGGCTTCTGGAATGCCACAGCAGGCAGGGAGGGGCGGTCAGGGCCAGACTTGAGCCAGTTGCCCAGAGGACTCGGGCATCTGGGGACCACCATCCCCACCCACACTTAGCCCCTGGGATCTTCCCACCCCTCTGTAGCCATCTCTTCCTCCAGGAAGTCTTCCTGGAGCCCCTAGCGGGGGTTCTGAGCTCCCCACCCAGGCACCTCCACGTGTGCCCAGCTGTGCCCCAGAACTGTTTGTTCATCCAGCAAATGACCCCACGGTGGATGGGGCGCCTTCTAGCTCTGCAGTCCTATTGCCTTGAACCTGACCTGTGGCACTTCGGAGTATAGGCTCGAGTCCAGACTGCCCGAGTCTGGGTCCTGTTCTGTTCCTAGCTATGCGCCCAAAGCAAGTTCCTTACTGACCTCTGCCCTGAAGACCACCACTTCTTAGGCTTCCTGTGAGTTGAGCTGCTAGAGTCACTGCTTAGACGTGGGTGTGGCCACTCAGTAAGGCTGCTCACCCTCGTTCCCAATGAAACCCCGGCCACTGAGGGAAATGTCATCTGTGCTTTATTGTACATCAATGGCCCATACTGGTGCCTGCGTCTTAGAGTTCCTGGGGGTGGCAGTCCTGGGGCCAGCCTCTGCCCAACCCCAAATGCCCAGTCCTGCCCAGCTCCCAGCACAGTGCAGGGTTAGTGTGCTGGTGGAGTTGGGGAGGGGTGGGGATGACCACAATTCTTGTCCACAAAGCCCAGGCAGGGCTCGGTCCTGGGACCCTGGGCTCTGGGGAGGTGGGACAGGGTGGGCTGCATGTCACAGGAGAGCCCCCCAATCCTCTGGAGTGCAGAGCCTGGTCCAGCCCCAGGGATCCAGCCTGCTGAGTGGGGCCTGGCCTGGCAGATTCTACAAGGTATCCGCTGGGGAGACCCTGGGTGGGAGCACAGTGCTCGGTCTGGCTCCTCCTCCCACGCAGGCCCGTCTCATCTGCGTGGCCGGGGGTCACGGCCCCCGTGGCTCATCTCTGCCCAGCAGCATGTGTCACTGGCGTCACCTGGGCCTCGTGTAGCCGTAGGGGCGCTGCAGCAGCAGGCTCTGGTGGCCGGGCAGCACGTGCGTGTGGTAGTGCTCCACGAGGCTGCCCACGCTCACAAACAGGACCTCGCCCTCCAGGTAGAATTTAGAGTCCTGGGAAGGGGGAAGAGTGGCAGGGTCAGGGGGGTCTCCTGCGAAAGGGGGTGGTCAGCAGCAAGGGTGACAGTCAGGCAAGCTCCCAGATGCCCTGTGTCAGCTCTGTGCCTGCCACCCCACCCCCAGGTGGGGGCTCCCTTCCAGCTGGGGCCCTGGGGTGGGGCCAGCCTGCCCACCTTCTCAAAGATGCGGTAGTTCCTCACTTTGTTGGAGCTTGTATCCCACACGACCAGAACCTGCAGGGAGAGAAGCAGCAGATGGATCAGCTGAGAGCAGCCCCAGCCCCAGGGGAAGGAGCGCAGAGACCGAGGGGCCGGCAGAAGCATCACAGCTGGGTCCTGGGGCCCTTACGGTGACCTAGGGAGGGACCCGGACAGCAGGGTCCAAACAGGCAGCCCCTGGCCCCAGGGCTCCTGCCCCGATGGCCTCTGGGGAGACTCGAGTAGCAGTAGCAGGTGCCTGGCTCGCCCTAGGACCATTTCTGACAGACACAAAACAGAGAGGGCACCAGGCTGGCTCCATCCGTGCAGCGTCCGACTCTTGATCTTGGGGTCATGGGTGTGAGCCCCACTGTTGGGCATAGAGCTTACTTAAATAAATAAATAAACAAATAAATGATAAAAGAAAAGAAACAGAAAGGTGAGGCTCAGTGAGGTTGTGCGATCCAGCCTCGGAGGAGGAGGGGCACTCTGGCCGACTCGCTATTCCCACGGCCCCAGGCAGCCTCCCCTGCAAAGTGCATGAAAACCCCCAGCCCCACCAGAGTTCTGGGACCCCCGGCACTTCCCTCCCATCTCCTGCCTGTGCTGGGGGACTGGCCAGCATCGCCCCCAGTTTGCAGATGGTGTTCGGTTCCTGACAGTAGATGGGGCAGGGGCTGCCGGGCAGAGACCCCAAGGACAGAACTGGTCGAGATGCCAAATCAGAGGCTGCACAGGGAAGTGACATATATACTCCAAAGTGCTGTGCTGGCTGTCAGCCTGGGTGTGTGCAGAGCCAAAGGAGCCCACCACAACACAGCAGTCCCCAGGGGCCTTCACTCAGCAGGGTGACTGTTGGGGCACCTACCTTCCCCGACTTGGTGGAGGAGTTCCGGATGCAGTAGAGTCCATCCTGGGGCTCTCCCTGGGGGCTTGTGGCTTTGAACAGCCTAAAATAAAACAGTTGCGTCAGCAGATGAACCATCCTCAGCCAGCGCTCGCGGGAGGACCCTCCAGCCCCAGTCCTCAATGTGGGTTTCTGTCTTCTCGCCATTCTTCAGCACAGGTCCCAAGAGCAACGGGCTGCGTGAGGGCCGGCCTGTGCCGGGCTTGGGTGTCAGCCCGGAGGGACTGAGTGGATGGCCTCTATTGCCCAAGGGGCCGTGTACCTGTGCCAGCGACTGCCCAGCACCAAGGCAAGTGAGGGGGACAGAAAGGCTGGGGACCGCATGTCTGCAAAAACAAGGATTTGGAGAAAGAAGGGCTTGGTGCTCACCTTTCCACTTCGCAGGATTCCGTGGTATTGATAAACACAGAGCTGGGCAGCGGCACCTGGAGAGGCCAGTGGCAGTCAGGGTCAGGGTCAGGGTCCGAGGGGTGCTTGTAGCCAGTGCGCCGTACCCCCACCCGTGGCGGGCTACCAGCCTGTGCCCAGATCTGGGGCTTTCCACCATGCTCCCGCACGCCCCTCAACTCCAGCATCCTGGGGGCTCCTCACTCAAGATGCCCAGTGAGGGGCTGCCCACCCACCGCTGTGAGCTGGGCTCTCCCCTCGGCCCCACCTTCTCATAATCCTCGTCGGAGTCCTCCCCACCAGTGCTGTCCGCCTTCGAGGGCCGTCGGGGTTTTTCAAAGGAGAAGCTCCTGAAACTCTGCCCATCAGGGGGTGACCTCCTGGGAGGGGAGCAAGGAGAGGAGGGAACATCACTGTCGCACCCTCCGCCCACCTTCACCCAGATGGTGTCAGAGGCCCAGACCAGGGACTCTGAGACAGGCCCATGCTGACCGCCCTGGGGCGACAGGAATTGCCTGAACTGGGCTCAAGGCTGCCAATAACACTGGCAAGAGCATGGTGGGGGCCTGAACTCTGGTGTGGTCGTAGCATAGCCAAGTGCTCTGGACGCTGTGGGAGAAGGCCCGAGACTTGGGGGCGGGGGGGCCCAGCCCCAGCTCTGCAGCTAACCAGCTTTGTGACCTTGGCCAAGCCACGCCCCTCCCAAAGCCACAGAGAGTGGATGATGTGAATGGACGGAGCCCACACTGGGCTGTGGTGGAGGCTGGGCCATGGATGACCGGCCCTGGCACACGCAGCCCTGTAGCTCTTGCCAAACTGACCCAGTCTGCACCACTGAGGCCCCTTATGAAACAGAACCATCACATGGCGCCCTCCCTCAGCAGCAGAGCTGAGAGTCCTAGGGAGAAGGGTGCCAGGGTCAAAGGCCTTCAGGGAGTACTGGGTTAGCACGCCCGCTCAAGGTTCCCCCCTGTGGTTCCCAGAACCGTCACGGTTTGGGGCCCCAGACATCTCTGACCACAGGCTATTGGTATGAATGACACTGTGAGCGGGGGACACACCAGTCCCCCCCAGCAATAAAGAAGAAAGTGTTTCGAGCCAACCTCAAGGATGAGTCACCAACATACTCCACATTCTGGCAAGTTCCCAATCAGGAAGAGCATAAAGGCAGCCTTGGTGGCTCAAGAGCCCCAGGCAGGGAAGGACAGTTCCCGATCAGGAGGGCCTGCAGAGGCATGCTGGCTCCAAGTGGCTCACAGCCCAAGCTTCTCCCATCCCCGACCATCTATCCCAGAGCAGGCAGTCAGCCCTGAAGGCCCCTCCCTTGACCCTGCAGGGTCCTCAGATTGCCCAGCTCGGGCTCTGGGAGGCCTGTTTCCCCAAAGGCCCTCTTGACCACTGCTCCCCAACAGCGACGGGCTCTAGGCCCTCCCCCCACAAGGCTGGACATTCCTCTAGGGCAAGGGTAGGTCCGGTGCAGGGGAGGCGGCTCAGGCTCGGCAGGCTGGGGCAATCCAGGAGCCTTCCTTCTCCTATGCTAGGGCTGCGTGGTATCCACCGTGGACACAGACAGTGCCAGAGGCAAGGAGAGGCCAAGGCGCCAGCATGAGAACCTGCCAGCTGGGGAGGGGCCCCAGGGGGCCCCAGTGCCAAGTCAACTCACTGGAGGTGGGGGAGGGGTGGCTTCTCTGTCCTCGGCAGGACCGCTGGCTTGGCTGCGGCCTCAGGCATGGGCAGCTTCAGTACAGGAGGCCTGGGGGCCACCGGGGGCACAAAGAGTCTGGGCCTGGCTGCCTCCCCTGCAGGGGCCTCTTCAGCCATCTTTAAGAACTTAGGCTTGTTGGCCGGCACGGGTGGAGGCTCGGGCATGGGTGGCCCCCGGGGGGTCAGATGGAAGGACTTGAGCTTGTCACAGTTCCTGGAGGAGGCAGCGGCCACGTTGGCAGGGCTGGAGGCACAGCCAGGCCCATGGCCGGGGACCCGGGGCTCTGGGCTGGGGCTGGCGCTCTCGCGTAAGCAAGGCGGTTTCCGGAGGCTGGGCGTGGTTGGCAGGTGGCCCAGCGGGGGGTCACTCATCCTCCGGGGGGCCATGGGCACTCTGGGGCCAGGCTCAGGCCGCCTCAGGCCCAGTGGGTCCCTCTTGGAGTCTTCAGGAGCTGGGCTGGTGTCAGGGAGGCCACGCTTAGGGGGCGGGGGTGGCAACAGGGGGCTCGGGCCCTTGGAGGCAAAGGAGTGAGCACGGGGCATGTCGGAGAAGGCTGGCTTCCTGGGTGTGGGCACGGGAGGTGGGGGGTAGGCCGGCGGGTGGGTCAGGGTGTCTGCAGAGCAAAGAGACCCAGTCAGTGAGCGTCACCTGCTGGAGGCTGGGTCAACACCACCACCCTGCACCCCCTGGCCTTCCTCACCCCCTTCTACACGCAGCCCACACAAGCTTCCTGAGCCATCAGCTTCCTGGAAGTGGAGGTGAGAGAGAACAGGCAAGGGAGACTCTGAGGACTTCACCGCAGGGAGGGGAGGCTCTGATTCCCACTAAGAGAGGTGAGGAGGACGGACGGAAGTAGGTTTGGAGGAAAATGAGGGTTGCGTTTGCTCATGCTTTAAGAACATTGAGGGTACGTGGAGTGGGCCATCAGGGCGCAGTCTGGGGTTCAAGGAGAAGTGAAGGTGTGTGGGGTGGGCCGTCGGGCGCAGTCTGGGGTTCAAGGAGAGGTGAGGGAGTGTGGGGTGGGCCGTCGGGCGCAGTCTGGGGTTCAAGGAGAGGTGAGGGAGTGTGCGGTGGGCCGCTGGGGCGCAGGTCTGGGGTTCAAGGAGAGGTGAGGGAGTGTGCGGTGGGCCGCTGGGGCGCAGGTCTGGGGTTCAAGGAGAGGTGAGGAAGTGTGCGGTGGGCCGTCGGGCGCAGTCTGGGGTTCAAGGAGAGGTGAGGGAGTGTGGGGTGGGCCGTCGGGCGCAGTCTGGGGTTCAAGGAGAGGTGAGGAAGTGTGGGGTGGGCCGCTGGGGCGCAGTCTGGGGTTCAAGGAGAGGTGAGGAAGTGTGGGGTGGGCCGTCGGGTGCAGTCTGGGGTTCAAGGAGAGGTGAGGAAGTGTGGGGTGAGCCGTCGGGCGCAGTCTGGAGTTCAAGGAGAGGTGAGGAAGTGTGGGGTGGGCCGTCGGGCGCAGTCTGGGGTTCAAGGAGAGGTGAGGGAGTGTGGGGTGGGCCGTCGGGCGCAGTCTGGGGTTCAAGGAGAAGTGAAGGTGTGTGTGGGCCGTCGGGCGCAGTCTGGGGTTCAAGGAGAGGTGAGGGAGTGTGCGGTGGGCCGCTGGGGCGCAGGTCTGGGGTTCAAGGAGAGGTGAGGAAGTGTGGGGTGGGCCGTCGGGCGCAGTCTGGGGTTCAAGGAGAGGTGCTGGCTGGTGAGGGAGTGGAGTCAACAGGCTCTCCGTAACGCCGGCTGTCCAGTGGCCTAAGACTGTCTGGAGAGGAGTGGGCCAGGCCTGAGTCCTGGGGTGGCCCCGCTCATGTTGATGGCATTAAGGGGCCATGTGGGGCTGAGTGAGGTGGGATAGGACCCGGAGCCAAGGTGCCTGGTGCCTAGGAGCAGGGGGGATGACCCAGGCCATGGACAGCTCGACTCACAGGTGGTGAGTGCTGCGTTTGAGAATGGGGAGGCCACTGCAACCCAAATAAGAGATATTTGGGGAGAGGGAGGGGAGAGCTGCTTGGAGTAGGGACCCGGAAAGGTGGGGAGGGAGTGTGCAGGCAGGTCTGCGGGCACTGGCCCTGGAGGAGCACAGCTGCAAGCCAAGTGAGGCCCCCACGTGCTCATCTCCAGCCGCACGTGGCCGTGGCCGCAGTTCAGGGGTGGAGCAGATGGACATGGGCTGGAGCCATGGGCTCTGTGCCAGGAGGGAGGTGGAGGCACATGGCCTGGTCCTGGTAGGGGGCCAGGAAGAAGGAAGGGGGCTGGGCCTGCTGCACTCGAAGGTGGGGGGGGGGGCTGAGGACAAGGTCATTGGAGAGGAAGCAGAGGAGCAGGGAGGCCGGGGGTAGAGGGATTGTCCCAAGTCCCCAGGGAAGTGGGAAGGATGGTGGGATGCGACGGATGCCCTCTGGTCCTGTGCTTGTGTGTGATGCCTGGTACGTGCCTGTCTCCCTTGCTAGGCCACAGACTTTGGGAGGTCAGGTGGGAGTGGGTGGTAAGTGACAGACCGGCCTAGAGGTGCTCCAGGGAGCTGTCAGCCACAGGGAGTAGGCCCTGCCCTGGGCCCGCCCACTCCTCAGTGCCCCTCCTTCCCTACTCTCAGCCCCCGGGGCCACGGGTCGCCCACCTACCGTCGGGCTCCACGGGCTCAGGGGAGTCAGGCTCCATGTACGAGTCGTCTTCGTCCTCATGCTCATAGTCTGTGCGGCAGGTCGAGGGTCAGACCCAGGGTGGCCCAGGCCCAGCGGCACCCGGGGGGAGGGGCAGGGGCCCTCAGAACCCTGGGAGCCGAGGGTCGGGGAGGCACGGGGCAGGGCACGAACCCGGGACCCAGGCTGCCTGGGAAAGACAGCCAGACACTCCCCCCTCCTGGGTGGCGGCGGCCAGGCGTGGAGGAGGTAGGGCGCGTGCAGAGACAGGCCTCACCTTCACTGTCAGCGGGGTACGGGGGCAGGCTGACGTCCACAGGCCGCTCGACTGCCCCGTAGAAGCTGTCTGTGTCCGAGCTGGAGTCACTGAGGCGGGGGGCAGGGGAGGGGGCGGTGAGCACCGCGCAGGGGGAGTTCCTCTGCACTCACCCATGTGGACATGCACGCACACCCTCGGATACAGGACCGACGCACAGACCAACAACACAGACAGACACATGGACGTACACAGAGCCACACCCACGGATAAACACAAAGCAAGACGAGACACACAGTCGAACAAGCTCCTCACAGGTGAGAAACACAGACCCAGGGACCGGAGGCCTCCCTGCCACCCCCTGCCTGACCACACAGGGCCAGGCCTCGGGGCTGGCCCCACAAGAGGTGAGGGAGTGTGGGGTGGGCCGTCGGGCGCAGTCTGGGGTTCAAGGAGAGGTGAGGAAGTGTGGGGTGCCCTCCCTCAGCAGCAGAGCTGAGAGTCCTAGGGAGAAGGGTGCCAGGGTCAAAGGCCTTCAGGGAGTACTGGGTTAGCACGCCCGCTCAACAAAGCCATCCAGCTCTGTGGGTCAGTTGGGGCTGGAGTGGGTGCCTGCTGCCCAGGGCAGGGCTCCACCCTCGCCCCGCCTCCCTCAGCGCCCGGGGCTGCTCCGCACGGAGGTCAGGGACATGACCCCTGTGGCCTTCCCGGGGCTCTGGCTCCACCTTAGCCCATTCGGAGCTCTTCCCCAGGTGGCTCCTGAGCGTGTGGTACTCATACCGGGCCACGGGCTTGAGGATGAGCACTCGCCCAGCACTACGTCCCGTCAGGCCCCCGCCACCCTGAAGGCAGGCTCACCTTGCGCTCATCCTCAGAGGAGGCCGAGAAGAACCATGTGCGGTGCTTCTTGCTGATGTGGACGATCTTGAAGGGGAAGACGTTGTTGGACGTTGTCTCTTCAGCTGCCCGCATCACCCTGAGGGCACAGTGCGGGCGGTCACCACCCGGTCAGCACGGCCCGGATGGGTCCCGGCACCCCACACCCACCGTGCCCCCGAGGACGCGGGCGGGTCTGGACGGTCCGCCTCGCAGATGCTCCAGGCCAAAGGCCTAGATGCTTCAGGCAGAGGGAAACGTGCAGGCAAGAACCGGGCACAGAGTGGACAGGGCTCATCCTGGAAGCAGCAGCCCGTGAGGCTCCAGAACGAGGACACGTCACCCTCACTGCCCACCAATGCCCCTCTACTCAGCTGCCACCCGCCCACCTCGGCAGGCCTGCCTGGGGGGAACCCGAACATGTCAGCCTCTGCCCTGCCCCTGCAGCCCCCATCAGGCACCCCAGAGAGCACTGGGGGGACATAACTTACATGGCTACTCCCCCCAGCCAGGCCGTGGGGGTTGTATAGAGATCACAAAACCTACCATGGGGGAGCCCCACTGGGCCAGGCGCCTGGGGCAGGTGCGCCCATCCCCCGGGGTAAGGGTGCACATCCCTCCCCAGGGGACCCCAGAGCTCTGAGCCACGAATGCCCACTGGCAGCCACAAGCTCCAGGCTCCTCCCCTCCTTAGCAATGCCCTGGCTGGCGGAGGCCTGGCACTGGGCTGGGCACCTGGGCAAGGGCCCCCCCCCACTGAGCTTGTGGCCAAAACCTTGAGTCACTCAGTCCTGCCACACTGACATGGGACCTTCAGGTCCGCATAGGCAGGAGGGGCTGGGCCCTCCCAGGAAGTTGGGCAGCACAGACTCATGCCGCAGGGTGCCAGGCCCATGGTGTGACACTAAGACCCAGAGCCCAGGAGTCACACTTCACCCCTGCCTGCAGGCCCCCGATGCTGTGGGGCTGGCCCAAGTGGGGCTAACGGACCCTCACTTGCCAGCATTCCCCATCCCATCTAGAAAGTTCTGGCCCAGCGTCCACCTGCCTGCCCATTAGCAGAGAGGCACTCACTGGATGGGCCCAGCCTGCGGCCCGTGTAAAGCAAGGAGCTGGCCCCGGCCTGGGAGGCCCCGAAGCCTTGGAGGCCTGAGGCAGGGCCTAGGGTGGAGTAGGTTCCTGGCCCCTTGGAAGGAGGCTATGGTAGGAAAGGCGGCTGGGTGAGCAGGGAGACGGAGTGGTGGCCGAATGGGGACTCTGGAGGCTCTGCTGAGGAGAGAGCAGGAAGCCCCCAGCCTTGCCCAGGTCCTCCGCGAAGGCCCGTGGGAGACTGAGGAGGCCACACGGAGGGTGAGAATGAGTGGGACAGGTGGACAGGATCCAAAGGGGTGGGGTGGGAGCCATCTCAAGACAGCCTGGACTCTCTGTGGGCGGGAACGAGGGACAGGCCTGGCCAGGGCTCTGCGGGGGCCGCGGGCAGGGGGCACTTACCGGTTATAGCCGCTCAGGGAGAAGGCGCCCTGCGGGGAGGCAGACGTGCTGCTCTTGAAGTAGTAGATGCATCGCTTGTGGATGATGACAAAGCGCAGGGGCCCTGAGGGCAGCGTGGCAAGGGCAGAGGATGAGCCTTGAGGGGCTGCTGGGCAGACCCCACTGGAAGGCCATTCCCAGAGGCCCTGGGTGACTTAGGGCAGACCTCCTGCCTTTGAACCCCACTAAACAGAAGGGCAGGGAGTTGGGCTAGCATGCTGCCCCATCGCAAGGAGTCCACTATGGGGCCAAATGTAAGCAATCACGGGCAGGTTGACCAGCCCCAGAGCACCACCCCCAAGGCAGGCCTGGCCACGCCCAGGGCAGGGGGAGACCTTGACCACCTAGGCTGGCTCAAGGAAGTGCAAAGGCAGGGCCAGAGGTCATAGCATGGGGAGCTCATGCCCAGTCAGAGCGACAGGCAAGGCCCTGATGCTCTTTGGCCTTAATGTCTTTGACGACTGGGCATCTCCCAGACCTGGGGGCTCCCACTCTCTGCTAACCTGCTGTCCAGGGACCGGAGCCTTGGCCTCATACAGCTCTGGAGGTCCAGCACCCAGCTGGATTGTGGATCAAGTGACCGACCAACTGACTGAACACCCACTGGATGGTGCAAGGCCAGACCTACCAGGCCACTGAAGGCCCCCGGCCCCTGGCTGTAGACAGAAGCTCCCCGGGACCACTAGTCAGCACTGTGCACCAAATGCCCAACCTATCTTCATTTTGCAGTAGCACCCCAAATCATCCCACAGTCCTGGGGAATGAGGAGGCTGACTTCAGGTCCCCCAGGGAGTACTGGCCACCATGCAGGGAAGGAGAACTCTGGAGGGCCCACCACGTCTGAGCAGAGGCTCAGAGAGACAGGTTGCTTGCCCGCAGAGGTCCAACAGGGCAGTGGGGCCACAGGGCTGGGGTTCAGCCCCCGTCCCCATATCCTCCTATCACACTCCCTGCCACCCAGAGGACTCACATCTGAGCAACTGCAGCTGGGTGCCGCCCTTCTTGTGCAGGTAGCCAGCCTTGGCCACGCCCCCAGGCATGGTTAATAAGTTCTGGGCACCAATGGCCTTCATCGGGACGGGCCAGTGCATCTCTTCAGCCGCCATGAAGCTGCAAAAAAAGGGGAAGGAGACACGTCTCAGCCAGGGCTGGGGGTCAGAAGATGGCTTAGGTTGGGGCATGCAGTAGGAGACACCGCTGAGATCCTGGAGACAGCATAAAGGGTCGATGCAGCAAGGGGTGAGGAACCTTCGGAAGGCCCCCGGCTTCCAGGTGGGACCCCCGGGAAAGAAAGGGCCACCTGGTCCACGTGGTCAGCCCCTGGTCTCTCTGGCCACACACCGAGCCCCAGGGACCCTGAGAACGGAATGTATTCCTTCACACACCTGCTAAACTCACGGGTCAGTGGGGGCTAGGGGACAGCAGTGAGTGAATTCAAGAAACCATTGGCCCAGGTAAGTCAGGTCTGAGGCCATAACCACCCCAGGTCTGCATGCCAGGTGAGCCTATGATGGAGCCTGCCAGGGAGGGCTTCCAGGGGGAGGTGACTAGGATCACAACCTAATGGATTTAAGGAGGTACAGGGGCTGGGACAGGCCGTGGGCATCCTCTCCATCATCTCTGACCCCTAGCAGGGAAGGGTGACATGGCCCCCAAGTGCCCCACCCTCCACTCCTGCCTGCCCTTAGCCAGCTTCTGTCCATCCCTTTTTTAAGGGCCTGAGACCAGGAAGCAGGAAAGTGGGTAGCCCTGAGTCCCTAGTTCCCACCCTGGCTCGGCTCTCTGGGGGAGCCCTAGGCCATAGTTGTTGGAGCTGTAAAATGGGAGCACAGGGTGGACACAGCCTGGCACACAGCACACGCTTGTCAGCAGTGGCCACGGTGACCGTCCGGTGGGTTGCCTGGTGTCCGCTCTGTCTCCCCATCACCAGCCTTGCTCAGCCTCCCGCTCATCCTAGCGGTTCTCCCTGAAACATGCCAGGCTGTTTCACACTCTGGCGTCTGCCTGGAATGACTGACCACTCCCCACTTCTCACATGAAGAACTCCTATTCATCCTTCAAGATCCAGGTTCAGAGTCCCCTCTTCTGTGAGGCATCTGAATGCCCAGTCATATTCAGGATTCCCTCCCCACCCCCGCACTGTTTTGCCTGTGCCTGCCCCCACTGAACCTGGTGCCTGGTCCTTCCTGGGGCCCCAGTGGACTTGGGAGTGTCAACCGGGTGTGTGGTCAGTGTCCCACCGAGTCACCAGTGTTGCAGCCCGGGTCAGACCCAGAGGCCCTGTCTACTGGGGCTCCTGCCAATACAGCCCCCATTCCCCAAAACACACACAAAGCAAGCCACTCGGCGGCTGGCAAGCCAGCATCCTCTGCCAAATGTTCACCCCCTCCAGGGACCCGGCTGCTCCCTGGCCTCCGCCCGGCTCACTCAGGCTGCCGCCCTCCGGCTCCGTGCGCACAAGACCATCCCCGGGGCCCGGGCCTCCGCCCACAGCGGAGGCTCGGAACAAAGGTACGGCCCCGGCCCCCCAAGCCTGCTGCCGGGGACGGAGCCCCGCGCCCCGCCCGGCCCACGCCCGCCTTTGTTCCCCCCAGGAAGCGGGACTCGCGCTCCGGGCTCGGTACTCACGGCGTCCACGCGGCAGCCCGCCGCCCCTGCGCGCAGCGACAAGGCCCCCGGCCGCGCCCCCCCGCGCCCGCCTCCCGCCCGCCCCAGCAGGCTGGCACACAGCACACGCCCAGGCGCCTGGGGCAGGTGCGCCCATCCCCCGGGGTAAGGGTGCACATCCCTCCCCAGGGGACCCCAGAGCTCTGAGCCACGAATGCCCACTGG